CACTTTAAAGACTAACAAGATGGTTTATTAGATGATGAGCTTTCGTGGGCCAGACCCACTTCCTCAGATCAAATAGTGGAAGAAAATAGTCACAACCATATATACCAAAGGATACAATTTAAAAAAATGTAAATTGTATCCTTTAGTATATATGTTTGTGACTATTTTCTTCCACTATTTGATCTGAGGAAGTGGGTCTGGCCCACGAAAGCTCATCATCTAATAAACCATCTTGTTAGTCTTTAAAGTGCTACATAGTCCTGTATTTTGTTCAAGGATTGTGCAGACAGCGGAGAGAAAAATACAGGCCAAATTCTGCACCTTCCTACCTTGAAGATGATTTGAGGGGTAGGAAATTGCCCACATGGATGGCAGCTTTAACTGTTGTGGCTACTTGATACATTTACTCTATATTTTAGTGCTCCCCAAACTTGCTTCCTCCACACAACAAGCATCAGTTGTTTGAAACCAGAAATTAGAGGCTGCAGGAACTCAGCACTCCCTTTGGCAGTGTATCCGGCACAGGATGGATTTGAACCTAGGACCTCTGGAGCTTAGCGTAGGAGTGCTACAGCTTGAGCTATAAAGCCAACTGGCTCTCAGCTCAGGCTGTAGAGCGCCCTCATTCTCGTCGCTCGCTGTAAGCGGTCAAAGTGCCACTGCATGGGACAGCGACCCACACGAGGTACGTGGATCCATGAAGCTGGGCTGATGCTTCGGGAGAATGAGCGACTCCCATAACACCCTGGACTAGCTGAGTGTGGAAAGAATTGCTAGAGAGGCGTCCAAGGGGAGCACTTGCACCCCACGGTAAGTATTGACCAGAGCCCTTGCTAGTCAAAGATTTCTTAGGCTTTTACTGGTTACTAGCTCTCCAGTTAATGCTGAATATACCTGTCCAGGGCCAACAACGCTGCAGTCTGCATTGATGTGGCAGGCGCTTGTCTATAGCAACACAGGCTTTTCCATCCCCGGTCCAGCCCTTGTTACACTGACAGGTAGCAGTACCAGGGCCCGTACTGGTACATATGGCCTGTGGGTGAGGAGAGAAAAGTCAATTAAACTCTAATGAAATCAAATTAAAATAAAACTGTTGAGGATGGGAAACCTTCCCAGGAAGTAATATAACAAACTTGCTCATTTGTCTATAGCAACACAGGCTTTTCCATCCCCGGTCCAGCCCTTGTTACACTGACAGGTAGCAGTACCAGGGCCCGTACTGGTACATATGGCCTGTGGGTGAGGAGAGAAAAGTCAATTAAACTCTAATGAAATCAAATTAAAATAAAACTGTTGAGGATGGGAAACCTTCCCAGGAAGTAATATAACAAACTTGCTCATTCACATTTTAACAGTATCCCCCAGTTGGGTAGAATCAGAACTGCTCAGCTGTGTGTCATAGGCCCCGCACCGCTAACAGAGATTCGCCTTGGGCTCAAGTGGTAGGAGACAATCCCTGCTGTTGATGCCCTGTCCTTGTCTAGTAACTGAACCACAGATAGAGGTTGGGGAGTCTGTAAAAGCTGAGTCAGGCAGCAGTGGTCACATAGTTAAGTTCCAGGGGACCCAAATTCAGTCCCACTGACGATGACCCGGCCACAGGGCAGCATGATACCTAGAACTGAAAAATCCTGGGAGACCATAGATGTGTAACAGCATCACCATAATATCCGGCTGCTACGCAGAACTATTCATCAGCAGATTTCAAAAATAATAATAATGAGTCCCTGTAACAGGTGAATGGATATTGGAATACTACTATCACCCGTTCTGGTACCACCCATTACAATAGCAGCTGACTGGTTCCCAGCACAGGGCACAATGAACTTGGTTTTCAACATAATTCTGATAAAAAACAACTGGAAGAGAGGCAGAGGGACTTAAGGGATTTTTCTAAAACTATCCTAATACGTTGAATTCCTTCTGCAGCTCACCAGTTTCACTCCTACCCTTCACCAGCAGTGTTCCCTGTAAGCTGAGCGCTTGGGCAGCCGTCCAGGAGAGATTCAGATGCCGTTCAGCTGATTAGCAGAGTACCCACAGTATGTCTCTGTTGGTGGTGCACATCTACACCTGCTTCGGTGCATGTAACAAAATGTATTCTGTGTGTGGGTGGAAAAAATTGAGGGAACATTGCCCCACTGAAGTTTCTAAACCAGGATTACATTTTGCTCTATTGTAGCACTGGCCACCCACAGGCATTACAAACACTAATACAGCACGGCTCACATCTCCACCGGCGATAGGAGCTGTTTAACACCATGCGACGGAAGTGGAAATCGAGGCATAAGCAGGATAAACAACATGCCCAAAGCCTTGCAAGTCAGTGGCAGATCTGAGTCCTGGAACCCTGCTGTCACCAGTTGCTAATATTTCCTCTGATACCCACTCACGTTTTCTGAGCAGCCTCCCCGTTCTGGTTTCCTACACAGATCAATGGGCAGGCAGGAAAACCCATCTCCTTCGTAGCCATCAGTACAGATGCACCTTGAATACCAAGCACAGAGAGACGTGAATTCCCAAGCATCGAGGCAGGGGGCATCTGCTAGCACTGTCCCCTTAAAGGGCTGCTCCCCTTTAACCCGGTGAGCATGTGGCTGGATGCTTTGATGTCCCGCGGCACAGATGGCTGCACCACATACACACCCGCAAACACACAGAGCTAGCGACGTCGGCTTTATGTTACTGGACCCTCCCTGTGCAAGTTGCTGTACCAACACGCGCAGACCTTGCCCAGCGCGCACGCCCGCCATGCACATAACCACCTGGTGGTGTTGTTGAGGCTGCAGATTGCGTGACGGTGACAATACTGAGAGACCGTCGGGCCACAGCTCCGAGAGATCGTGTCACAGAATTCCCCTGTGTAGCCAGCCTGGCACGTACGGGGCTGGCACACGCCCCCGCTGCCTGGTCTGTTATCACAAATCCCATGGACGCAGCCGCAATCTGTCAAAGGCATGGAGAAGAATCAGCTGGCGAGCTCCTGCAGAGACGGCCCCTTTCTGAGGGCCAGATTTCTCTGACCATCTCGCCTCAGAGCACGTGGCCACCAGGTTCTGTCTCCTGCTTTTCCTCAAAATATGCCTTTAATGGAGCACGTCCTCAGCTGGCATAAATCAGCGTCGCTCCATTGATTTCAAGGCCGCCACACTAATTTATGCCAAGCAAAGAGGGGGCAAGATGGTCTCATTAAGAGTCAAGGTAGGTGGGGCCTTTGCACTAATGGAAATGGATATTCAAAGCCGTCTTACTCAGAGTCCTCAGGGTTACACCTTACCCGGGGCTGGTAAGCAAGGATGACAACATTTTATCGTCACTGGATGTCACACCCACAGAGCGCTTTGAGAGGGGAAAGCTTTGGTTATTCCCTCCTGATGGAGGAGGAGCCAGACCCCTCCAAGCACTGCTGGAGGGGAGCCAAAAGGTGGCTCTGAATTCTTCAGCGGAGCTCATCTCTATCTCCCTTACGTTGAGCTGGGCTTTGTCTACTTGCTCCAGTATGAAATGATCCACGAAGGGCCTACCTTGAGAAGCCAGCCCACAAAGCGTCCTGGTAGGAGCCATTCCAGGCTTCCACTCCCCCACCCTTTTTGCTCAGTTTATTGCCTAGAATTTCATGCAAGCCAGGAGAGTCGTTTCTTGAGGAATTACAGACCTTCATCGCAGTTCTCCCCATGCTTGTTCGGGTTTGAGCAGATGTGGCAGGCTATTCCTTTGAAACCCTCAAAGCAGAGACAGTGGCCGTTTCCTCGAATACCATCACTACACTGGAAGGAAAGCAAAAAGAAAACTGAAGTGAGCACGGTGGAGGGAAAACATACATTAACGTCTAGTAAGGGAAATTTCACAGGTTCTAGAAAAGCATGCGGGACTGTGAACCATTTTAGGAGCAAGAAAACACACACACACACACACACACACACACACACCCCAAAACTACCCCGGTGACAAGATGCAAAGAAGCATCTGGTGTGAATTAGTGACCAATGAACATTAAAATGGAAATTCAATTGAGAGAGCAGCTGAAAGTTCAGATGTTTATCTCAATCTCCTGGAGTTGCAAATGGGCTGGAAATCTCACGTGGACACTCCCGTGTAATTTTTTGGAGCTTCTGCTTTTGGTCCCAGCTGCAGGCAGCAAGCACATGCAAAGTGCAAGAGAAAAACAGACCCAACTTTTTCAAATATCAGAAAAGAGCCAGCTCGAGTTTTGGAAGAAGTTCCAAGTTTACTTCTATTTTACGTCAATCAGGTGTCCTGTGTCCAGTAGGAAAGAGACAAGTGTGTAGTGATGACATGAGTTACTTCCCGTATATCAGAATAAAAACAAACCAACAAAAAAACTGGTAGCGGTAACAGAAGATTCTGCATAGTAGTCTGTTCCAAAAGAACAAGTGCCAAATGCTGAGTAATATTTTGTATGGGAGCCCCAAACAGAGTTATCATGACAGAAAACAAAGACAAAGACCATTTGGAATTGCAGCAGATGAGCACAGTGTTTTTCCTAAGGGATTTGGCCCGGAGTGTTATTTTGTTTAGAAGAATCAGCCCTGAACGTATATTAATCCATAAAATTAATCAATGCTTTTTGCATAATAGAGAAGAGTTTTCCCTGCCTATTGGATGTCACACTGTGATATCGGTTATGAACAAAGATTTTCACTTTGTTATTGTGAAAAAAAAGATGCTCAATGAATGAAACATTAGCGAGATTTGAGAGCACAACAGCCTGGAAATGATAAGTTTACTTCCAACAGCAACCATAATATGCCTTGCAAATACAACCAGTTGAAGCTCTCTGGTCCAGCAACATCCGTGGTCTGGCATGGTTTAATTATCCAGATGTCCACTTATCATGAGCTTCAGGGGGAATTATCCGGATGTCCACTTATCATGAGCTTCAGGGGGGAGCCGAGTTAGTCTGTACAGGATAAACTTAAAAAACAACAAATAGTCTGGTAACACTTTAAAGACTAGCAAACCATGAAAATGGTATCATGAGTTTTTGTGGGCACGGCCCACTTCTTCAGATGTTCTTCAGATGTTCGGTGTTCTTCAGAACACTCTGGTCATCTGAAGAAGTGGGCTGTGCCCACAAAAGCTTATACCACCATCTACATGGTTTGTTAGTCTTTAAAGTGCTACCAGACTATTTGTTGTTCTTTAAGTTTACACTTATCATGAGTGTGGCCAAGTTTCCCGTGGTCCATAAAGTTCGTTTACAGCCACCAGTCCTGGCTCTCAGTTTTCTGTGCTATTATTTAGCTCAAATTTACCCCTAAATGTCTTTTAAGAGCCCAGAAAGCAGTGGACGCGTTGGAAAGGCTGCTAGACAATAGTGACCTCCCGTGGTTCGGCAAATTCTCTGGTTCGGCACCAATCAGGTCCCAAGGGTGCCGGACTAGAGACGTTCAACTGGTACTTCACTTTCACACAGGGCATTAACCAATTGTATACAGTCACAGATGCATATTATGTGGGTTGGGTGGTAGCTGTTGGACACATTTTGCCATAGGGGGCATTCATCTCAGTAAAAGATTCTGTGGCATGCATAGCTAGGGTTTGGTTTTCTATTTCCAGGCAACAAAGAAATGCCTCGTTTCCTAGCTGTAAGACAGTCTTACATTTTCTCATACGCCTGCTCCCAAGCCAGACGGGCAGTCCTCTCACATTTAAAAGTGTAGTACAAAGAAATCAATACCTATGTACAACACTGACACCGGCCTGACTTGCTCTAGAGTAGACTGTAAGGCTACGTCTACACTGCAATGCTATTTCGGGATAGCTATCCCGCGTCTTCACAGCAAGCCTGTTATTTCGGGCTCGCTATTCCGACGTCCCTGTAAACCTCATTCCACAAGGAGCAAGGGGCGTTTTGGAATAGCGCTTTATTTTGAAATAAAACGTAAACAGCGCCAAATGATGAAATAAGCTATTTCAAAATAGCATCAAAATAAGCTAAGAACATAAGAACGGCCGTACTGGGTCAGACCAAAGGTCCATCTAGCCCAGTAGCCTGTCTGCCGACAGTGGCCAGCACCAGGTGCCCCAGAGAGGGTGGACCGAAGACAATGATCAAGCGATTTGTCTCCTGCCATCCCTCTCCAGCCTCTGACAAACAGAGGCCAAGGACACCATTTTATCCCCTGGCTAATAGCCTTTTATGGACCTAACCTCCATGAAATTATCTAGCTTCTCTTTAAACTCTATTATAGTCCTAGCCTTCACAGCCTCCTCTGGCAAGGAGTTCCACAGATTGACTACATGCTGTTTGAAGAAGAACTTTCTTTTATTGCTCAAATTGCGGATCTTATTTCAAAGTTACGGTGCAGTGTAGATGCACCCTAAATGCTGCCGCTTGTTGGCAGAGAAAGAAACACCTCCCCCCCTCAGGAGGGGAACAGGAGTAATGCAATTAAGATGGTGCCCTTCCCTGCCTTTGTCTAACACCAAGCTTTGTGCGCTCTGTTTCTTGGCAAAACTGAGCACCAGACACTGATCATTTCCCCAGTGCACAGAATGTGAATCCCTGGTAAACAAACCAATTAGTGACCAATCTCCCCAGCTTCCCGCTAGGAGTTGTGGGCTCTGGTGCACTTACATTCCCTCTCCTGTAGCATGGGTTGGAGAAGCCACCAGGGCACGGTGTGCAGTCAGGGCCAAAGAATCCTTTGCAGCACCCAGGTTTCTGAAAAAAAAAAAATAATAAAAAAAAAATCACATAACACCGTAGAGAGCAGCTTAGCACATTAGGCACCATACAACACACACTGGGTCTGACCTCAGGTCTCTTTCGCTGGCTTCTCTCAGTGCTCGGACCACAAATCTGTCATCTTCCACGGCCAAGTTTTCAATCCAGCTCTTCCAGGGTGGTTAATCAAAAGGACTCTGGATCTGGAGTCTGACCTATGCCTCCAATATCCCCCACACCTCCGCTTTCTCCTCCCCCGCAATACCAATACCCTCTTATCACACCTAATCAGGTTTTTTCCCCCAGAAAAATCTACTTCCCTCCGCCTCTGCCTGACCTGGATTTGGGGGGGTTTCATGTTTTCAACTGTTCTGGGCCGTGTCTGCCACAAGCAGAGTCATTTAGGAAGCTGAATGCTCCAGAGGGCTGAGGCAATTGGCTCACAGCAGCCCAACAAATGGAAGGCCAAGGTTTCACTGGATGCACTGGTGAGCCTGAACTACTGGCTCTCAGAGGACTTGGAGGTAGCACGGTCTCCCGAGCTGGGACGAAGCTGCTTCCCAAAACACCTGCTA